CCAGAAATAGTGTTTGAAAATGGAAGGGGAATGAATACTTGTGTGATGTGGGCAATTAAGCTCAATTTTACTTTAAGTTATAAACTATTGCTTGATGACGTGTACTTGCCTTTCCTCAACAGTTTCTTTATTGTTTGCCTCATTCTTCAAGCCCCAACCCCCAACCCCCTTTGCTGCCTGACATCCCCGTATGAGTACTTCCCAAATGTCTCAGTGACCATTTTCAACCCCGGGATCGGTGTCTTCCCAGGCTCCCATGATTGGATGCTTCCCATCCCCTTCACCTTGTGCATTAGTTTCCTGGGGCTGCAGGGACAAATTGCCACAACCTGGGTGACTTGAAACAGCAAAAATTAATTTTGTCACCGCTCAGGAGGCCAGATGTTCGAAATGAAAGCATCAGCAGCGCCACGCTCCTTCCAAATGTTGTAGGGGAGGACCCTACCCGCCTCTTCCCGGGTCTAAGGGCCTGGTGTTCCTTCGGCTTGGGCCCCATAGCTCCAGTCTCTGCTGCTGTCTTCACATGGGCCTCTTCGCTTTGTGTCTGTCACTTATGACAAAGATTTTCTCCTTGACCAAACTCTAGTGAGGCTCTTCTAAATCTTCTTCTTGACGAGGCCTCCACCGTGGTCTATAAAAACAGAGTCAGCGTGGCTAATCTTGTCCATCCCAACCCTCACCATACACACATGAAAAGACTTAAACAAACACTGGTTTCGTTTCTAACCGTTGAAGGCTGAATCTCTAAGAGGAGGAGTCCAGCCCTCCTACGTTTCTGCCTGGGAGAGCTCAAGGCTGCCCAAAGAATTTGCTGTTTGTTCCAGCCAACCCTGAAGCTAGGCCCACGTGTCCCAGTCTGTATGGGAGGGTAGGGGCCTAACTTAGGTAAGTGCCAGTTAGCAAGCTTAGGTTGCCTTCACAGGGACCCACATTCCCGCCCCCCCCGCCCCTTCCCACTTTCTGTAAAAGTCCACGTCTCTGACTCTGCTCACCTGCCTCCTCTCACCACCCTTCTACCTCCCTGCTCTTTCATTCTTCCTCTAAAATGTCCGGTCACCTCTGCACAAACTGAAGGTGAATTCAGTTCATGATAGACGCCCTGGCCTACTGTGATAGTTTGTTGCTGATTAAACCTGTCCTTACCACTCTAACTGGGGTCTGCTTTTATTTTTGACACTTGTGAGGACACTCTCATTGGCTGCAGGGTCCATCCTCAACAAATCCAGTATGATCTCATCACAATCCTTACCTTATTTACATCTGCAAACACCCTATTTCTAAAGGTCATATTCTTAGGTTCTGGGTGAACAGAAATTTTAGGGGACACTATTCAACCCACTACACCCCCTATATTCAGTAGTCACTGTGACAAACTTTATTAACTGTCTACCTAATATCCAATGCCTATTTATTCCATGCTTTTATGCTTTTAAGTGTGTGTGTGTGTGTGTGTGTATTTTTGTTTGTTTGTTTGTTTGTTTGTTTTCCCCCCAAAAGAACGATATGATCAGCCTGTAGTTATGGAACATGGTCAGTCTCAGGTAACCCAGACACCCCCATTCCCCACTTTCCACTGCAGCTAGAGGCTGCCACGTGACCCAGCTCTGGCCAATGACGCCTGAGGTCAGCTGTGGAGAAGAGGGTGGGGTAGCGGCATGAGACAAACACCGAGAAAACTGAGAAATGTCCCTGATACTGTCAAACAGCCACCTACCTGAATGCACTTGACTAAAATAAGCCCCTATGTGTTAAGGCTTGTTTGGCAGAAATTCTATTTCTTACATTCAAATGCATTTCTGATTGATTTACTCACCAAGTATTAATTTTCTCACCAAGTATTCATTTTCTATTTGAAATGTCTCTCCTATTTATTTCTTCCTTCCATTCAATCAAGTCTTTATCACTTCTCACTAGACGATTAAAATATCCTAATTAGCCTCCCAGCCTCCTTCCAGAATCATCTATTCTCTACGGGCCCAATAGAGAAATTGTTCTGAAGCACAGACCATGCTCTCTGCTCAGAAACGTTCCTCGGCTCTCACTGAGAGAAAAACGTCTGACCTTATTAGCACTGATCTGGCCTCAATCTACTGTTTTCTAGTCGCATTTACTCCCATACACCTTCCTTGTGCCCTCCATACTTTTCACAACCAAATTACTTTCCTAGACACACTATGAATTTTCACGTCCCAGCCTGTCCCCTCAGTCTGGAGTAATTTGTGGGAATCCCCTTTATCCATCAGAGCCCAGCCTAAATGCATCCTCCTCCATGAAGGCCTCCATAGTCATCCAGTAGGAATTCATCCTTGAGCACACATAGCATTTTGTTTGGTCCCCTATTCCAAGCACTCCTAGGCTTTGGAACGTTTGACTTTCAGGTAACTTGCACCTCCCTCCAGGGTACATCTCCACATCTGAAACCTCTTTCCTATGCTGGATGTCGGGTTTTCATCTTTCACTGATAAACATTTCACACCCTCACAAGATGCTTCTGCTAAACAGCTGTGGGGAAGGGGGAAATTTCCCCTTTCCCCTCTTAGTTCTTCTGGTTGGCCAAATAATTAAAATGACATAAGGGATTAACACTGGGACACAGAGAGGACTTGGACCAAAAGGGCCTTGCCGGGTTCCTTTCTGCCTATCACACCGAGTTCAGATGCAACTACAGTCACCTATGATGATGGCTCACTTCTGGAGCAAGTCTTCTGACTTAGTTTAGGCAGGTAAGGGAAGGTCGAAGGTTTTCCCGGAGTCTTTCGTTTCTTAAACACAATCAGCTTAAAATAATCAATAGCCCAAAGAGGCATATTTTGGGGTGGCAAGCCAACAGCCAAATGTTTGATCCTGGCAACTTCATCATCTCCATCCCTTCATAATGCTCGTGCAATTATTTAAATATCCTAATGTGTTTTACTCAATATTTCATAAACATGAAAGTGATACCACCAATGAAAATAATTGAGACCAACAATAAAATCATGAAGTAAGCTCAGATCGGCTGTATCTTTCTTTAGCTTTAATCAGATACTCATTGTACTTAAACTGGTCTGTCATGTTTACTTGTGAAGAAATGGTACAAAATTAGAGAATATTTGGGAAATGTGGAGGTATATCGTTGCAGGCTGTGACCTGGAGTCAAGGCTGAGTAATGGGAGAAATAGAGACATAGTTTGAATTATGGACTAAGCACAGCTGCAAAATACATTGCAATTATTCAAAGGCAGAGAGAAAAATCACAAGGCTTTAAGGCCGTTGATTGGAATATAACTTAGGAGGAATTGTTTTATCAAGAAAAGAATGAGGACTGGTGCTCTATTATATTTTTAAAATTATGTTTAGAATTTACATACCACAAACTCGGCATCACAATTTTTTTTTTTTTTGCAAAATCTCTATTAGCAAGTCATTTCTCCCTGAAGTCGAAATAACTTTTTTTGTAAAGAATATCAAATGCTGTCTAAAAGAGCTAGAGAACTATAAATGAGGCAGTACATCACTTTAGAAAATTACCTTTATGGTCTCTATTTAATGTTTAATCTACATTTTTTATTTAAAAATGTTAAAAATAATCATGTACACATTCTAGAACACATAGGGATAAAATAAACTACACATCCATACCACAACCACAGACTGCATGACGTAGTTAGCCCTGCATAAAGAGAATCCCCCCCATGGCTGGCCCATCTGCAGCTCCACTTCAGATGGCACAGTACACAGGGAGATGTTAATTAATTGGGCTTCAAGAGAACAAAGAATTCCTGATCAAATAAATTTAGGAATGTCCTTTTACTAAATCCTGTCTTGGAGATTCAAAATATACATTAGCATATTAAAGAAGTCCTATGGTGTAACAAACAAACAAACAAACAAACCCCATTTAACTCTAATACTTTCTTTGTAAATAGGAACCCCCCCCCAGCACACTTATTAACAACCCTTTTCCAACAAAACAAAACCATATAAAGAAATTAAACGGTTTTTCCCTTAATCTCAATTTAGGAAGAACTAAACGATGGATTTCAGGGATAGAAAATGCCATCCTTTGAATTTTCTGCTGTGCCTAGCAGTGTGTAGTATAAAACCTCTCAATAAATGCTTATTAATTAATTAGCTTAATGAGAGAAAAAAAAAAGAGGAAGACAATTTGGAGTGTTTGGAGCTCTGAAAAAGCCTTAAAACCTAATTGACTTTCAACCAATGTGTTCTGAACCAGCGACCACTATGTATTTTTTCCTTTCACTCCTTCTCTGCATGGGCACTTCCCTCCAGTATTGTATATTAGATATACTGGAGGTGGTTAAATTTATCATTTAATTCATAAATCATAAGAAGGCGAGAACTACATTAAAATTGAATGGACATTACCTGGCAATTGTATATAAGAAGAGCAATGGCTCCAACGGGTGGAATGAACTATCCATCAATTTCTTTGCGTGCTGTCCCACTGCACAGCATATGTGAATGGGTATGTGTGTATGTGTGTTTGCATTTGGACATGGGATGAGTTGGGTAGTTGGACCTTGATATTAAGAATATCTTCATAATACATAGAGAGAAGCGTGTTCTGAATGTGCTTTTGAGGATATCTGCGTAGTCATCTTTTCCCAGGAATTGCCTGTTCTGTCTGTGATGGTGATCCTCTGGCAGTCACGTTTTTTTCCCTTGAGTGGCTGTGCTCAAGCTGTAATGGATTGGATCCAGACGAATACCTGTCTCAAAGGGGCCAGTTAGTTTTCCTCTCTCCAGAAATCGGAATTGGTAATTGTGGGAAGACTGTTCTTCACATTCCTGCCTTAGTCCATCATACATAATTCTCAATCTCTTAGAAATACTATTGGAGAAAGTTTCCGTCCTCTCTCCACCCTTCAGCCTCTCATCCCTGTGGGAAGTTGGCGCAGTGATTTACTTCACTGGTGAGTTGGGGAGAAGGGTCATTGCACATGTTCTCACTGGGCTCCTTTTCTTGTAGAGTATGTGTGCAAGCAGAGCGTGCTTACCTCCTAGATGCCTTCCCCATAGCCTTTTCCATACGATAAGCTCGCCACACCAGGTCAGGCCTCCTCCTGAGATGGAAGAAATGCAGTCACTTGATAATCTGCTTGTGACCCAAGGAAACGTAGAAAACTTCATTTTGGCCTCTAACCTAAGTCACATTCTCCAATCCAGTTTTACTGTGTTTTTTTTTTTATCAATGGGCTTAGGAATCAGAAGGGAGAAGGTAAGATAAATTGGCACCATAAAGTCCAAAATATCGAGGCAGCTGATCATATCGGGCTGGCTCTTCAATGACAGACATGAAAACTAGGGAACTGTGAAGTAAATATCATCCAGCTATCATGTGCTGGGAAACACAGATGGCTCCAGTCCCACCCTGGAGCCCAGCCATATTACACTGGCCTTAGATTCTGTGAAATACCACTCAGTCTGAACACTGTCTTCCATTTTGCTTGCGCTAGTTCAAGTTGCTTTTATAATTTTCCAAGAATCCTAACCATACACTCTCTGAATTTCATTATTCTCATCTATAACTGGTAGTTTTAATACTTATCCTAGGTATCTTACCAAGGGAATAAAATGAGGTAACAGAGACAGAAAGAATCATAAACTCTTAAGAGTCCCCTTGATAATATCTTCAATAAGTTGTTGTCCAGCCTTTTCCTTGACAGGAAATCATTACTTCTTGAGGCAATCTATTCTCTCTTCAGAGCTCTCTAGTTGCTAGGAAATGGATATATAAGTAGTCAAAATTTTCTTCCCTGTAACTCCATCTCATTCATCCTAATTCTCCCCTCTTGAGTTACACAGAATAAGCGCAGTCTCTCTTGTTCAGGACAGCCCTTGAAGTTTATAAAGATAGCTATCAGATTTTCACCTAAGCCTTTTTCTTCTGTAGGTTGAATGTCCTTAGGTTGTTTAAGCATATGTCATGATTTCCGTGCATCAGAGTGCCTAGAATGACCAAGTAAGTTTGGACATATGAGTTGGAGAAAATATTTTTGATTAATTCTTCATCATTGAAAAAGAAAAAAAAAAGACTTAGTTAATAAGGCAATCAGTCAGAACATTTACAATTTTAAGGTGTTTACAAATTCCCAATAGATATTTTCAGGACTCAGAGAAAAAATAGGAATTCCCAGGAATTATCAAATCATAAGTTATTCCATATTTTAACAGTACTTATGAGTTTTTGAATAATGATGAGTGATAATAATCAGTGTATCATTTTTTGATGATAGAATTATACTAACAGTTTCAGAGGTTTTCTATAAAAATAAAGACATAATAAATGCATGTTACAAAAGCATATCTTTCAAGAACATGCAAAAATGATCTCTACCCAATAATAGAAAAAAATTAGAGATAGTAGAAAAAAATTAATACTAAACACCAAATAAAACTGATTAAAAAATGAAAGGCATTAAAAAATGTTTAAAATTATCATTCTTAAAATAAAAAACTTAAAACACACAAAGCATGAATTGCCCTAGCTGATAGTCTTGATCTTTGCTTTGTAACAAATATTCTAGATGTACAAACATTTCTTTCATTTTGTGTTGATAGTTGTTGAATTAAGAGTGCATCCAAAAGTACCCTGAAGTTGAGTATTATAGCACATGTGGCTTTATGTAAGTGCATTTATTTAATTTTATTTTGTGTACTTGCCTTGATTTTGGAAATTGATATTTTGATGGTTCAGATTTTAGATCCATTTCTGATTTCATGTTTGAATATTCCAAAACAATTCAAATCTTCTTTGCATTTCTTCTATTAAAGTATTTACAAAGAGGACTTCTGGTGCTGGCCAAACTGAAGTAGCCTCATTCCTCCCAGGTCCTCCTTCTTATAACTAAAAACCCTGGGCAGACCTCAACAAAGAAGGAGAGGAATAGTCTGAAGGTTGAAAAGTGGAAGGTGGACTCCTTAGGCACCTCGGGACTTAAGGACTGACAGGGCAGTGAGTTCCCTGGGTTTCCTATTGCCCATTTTTCTTTTCTTTTCTTTTTTTTTTTTTTT